ATGCCACAAGTTGAAGGGCATGGAAGAACAGATAACCCCTAGACATGACATTAGCAGAAAAGGGAGCAGTTTCTGAAATGATAGGAGGTCAATGTTGTACTTTCACCTGCAGTAATACCACCCCTGATTGCACAATTACAAAGGCTTTACAAGGATTAACTACTCTTGCCAATGAACTCACAGAAAATTCTGGAGTAGATGACCCATTTCATAGCTTGATGGAACAATGGTTTGAAAAATGGAAAGGTATGATGGCGTTCATGTTCACTTCCCTGATAATCACGTTAAGAGTAATGACTACAGTAGGGGCTGTATCATTCCATCTATGAGAGGGCTCATCCAAAGAGTAATTGAGACCACGCTCACCAAACAGACTCCCGTCTCTTACCCAGGCACTCTCCTCTTATTAGACACAGTCAAACAAGAAATTCAATTGATGCTAGCTAAATCTGAAGAAAAGAACTGTAAATAAAAGGGGCAATTTCATCACTGAGACAGATTTTAACAGTAAGCATTAAATTTTTATTTTTATTAGCATATATTAATTGTATACAGGGGTTTTATTGTGATACTTCCATAGATGTATATAATGTAATTTCATCAAATTCTCTCCATTACTCTCCCCATTTCCCTTTTTATAGAAAATTTAATAGGTTTAATCATTCTATTTTCATAATGCACATAAAGCACTTTGATCATATTCACCTCCACCTCCCTCTCTTCTCACCCTCACCCTCACCCTCTGTCACCCCCTCCCCAAAAAGTCCCCCCTTCACACTCATGTCATTCTTTTTATGTCTAGATGCTGCTTATGAGCAAACACATGTGACATTTGTCTTTCTGAGCTTGGGTTCTCTCACTTAACGTGATGGTCTCCAGTTCCATCCATTTTCCTGCAGCAGTGGGCTTTGAATCTCTGTCCCTAACCACAGTGAGGACATTCCTGTCAATGCTTAGTGTGCTTCAGATTTTACAACTAAATGATGCTGAATTTGGTCAAATGCCTTTTCTGCATTCCTTGTAAGGATCATGTGGCTTTTGACCTTCATTTGGTGAATTGTGTGTTCTGTTTTACAGATGGCAAACCAACCTTGATTCCCCACAATGCAATAAAACCAGTGTAGATTTTTTTCAGTGCCCTAAACTCAGGACCTCACACTTGCTGGGCAGGTGCTCTACCACTTTACCCATGCCCTCAGCCCAAGTATAGCACTTTTTATGTATTTTTGTACTTGATGTAATAATATTTTGTGTAAATTTTGTTTGTTCTGATACTGGGATTGAACCCAGGGTCTCAAGCATGGTAGCAAGTGCTCTACCATTTTAGCTACATTCCCAAACCCTTTTCTTGTTCTTGTTTTTGAGACAGAGTCTCCCTATCTTTGCCCAGCATGGCCTCAAACTTTCAGTCCTTCCTGCCTTAACCTCCAGAGTAGCTGAGATTACAGGTGAGGTCTTTCCCATGCGGCTTGTATAGATTTTCAGTCTAGGCTCATGATGGATTTGGGCTGTTGTTCTTCTTGTGATGTCTTTGCCTGGTTTTGGAATCAAGATAACATTGACCTTATCAAATGAATTGTATATTGTTCAATGTTTTTATTTCTAAAAGAGCTTATGTGTCATTTTAATATGTTCAACATATTTCACCAATGAAGACTTCCGAGTCTGAAATTTTCTCTGTGAACACTTTTTTAATCATAATGTCTACAATTGATCTAGGGCTGATCACGTTTTCCATTTTCTCTTGGGGCAGTGTTGGTAATATATGTTTTTCAAGAATTTCTAGTTTCAGAGGCCAAAAGGAAAAGGGGACCAGGAACTAGAGAAAAGGTTAGATCAAAAAGAATTAACCTAGAAGGTAACACACACACACAGGAAATTAATGTGAGTCAACTCCCTGTATAGCTATCCTTATCTCAACCAGCAAAAACCCTTGTTCCTTCCTATTATTGCTTATACTCTCTCTTCAACAAAATTAGAGATAAGGGCAAAATAGTTTCTGCTGGGTATTGAGGGGGTGGGGGGGAAAGGGAGGGGGCAGAGTGGGTGGTAAGGGAGGGAGTGGGGGCAGGGGGGAGAAATGACCCAAGCCTTGTATGCACATATGAATAATAAAACAATTAAAAAAAGAATTTCTAGTTTCATCCAGGTTGTCATATTTTTTTTGTCAGGAATTTATTGCTAGTATTCCCATATTACCATTCTAATGTCTGAAGAATCTGTACTGATATCTTTCCTTTCACTCCAAATACTGGTAACTTCTGTCATTTTTTCCTTTATTAATTAGGCTAGATATAGAGGTGTAGAAGATAATGTGTTTCATAGAAAGTGCAATTCAATTTTTGGGTTCATCAGTTTTTAAACTGTCTTCCATTTCAATGCTATTTGACTTTCTTGCCTTCCTTCTGCTTGCTTTGGGATGTAATCTATTGAGATTGAAGCTGAATAATTAAATTGAGACTGTCACAAACATTGAAATATCCTGTATTTCATAGCATTCAGCTGGACATCCTAGCGATGTGGAAGGTGGAGATCAAATTGCGGTTTAGTGCCAGTGCAGGCAAAAAGTTAGGGAGGTTCCCATCTCAACCAATAAACATAGGGTGTTGTAGTGCATGCCTCTCCTCCTAGCTATGCATGAAGTGTAAATAGGAGGATTACAGTTCAGACCAGTTCAGTGTAAAGCATGACTCTATCTCAAAAATAATCACAGCTGCAGGGTGTTGGTGTCTCCTGCTGTAATCCTAGCTCCTCAGGAGGCAGAAATCAGGTGGATCATGGTTGGAAGCCAGCCCTGGGCAAATAGTTTGTGAGACTCTATCTTTTTTTTTTTTAATTATATATTTTCTGTTCAGTAGGGGAAAATGGCAGACATAAAGCTGAGGTGGTATTATAGTTGTTGGTGGAAGGTCAGCTGTTTAGTTCCGGGGATCATGTGACTAGTAGTTCTATTTTGTGATCTTTATTCATTTCCCTGGCAACTAGGACTCAATTTTTGTTAGTTCCATACATCTTTTATCCCATCCTCCTCTTCCTCCTAAGATACACACTTACATATCATCTCCTCTGAAGACTTGACTACCAGAATGGAGATAAGTCTAATAAAGATAAAGTGTCATCCTAAGTTCTCAGGAATATGATAACCTAACTGAAAAACGCCTTTGAAATTTATTTTGGCAAAGAAGCTGGTGGTGATGAATGGAAGAGGAAGGGATAAATCACAGGGTGTTGAGTTGCTTTTTGACCCTGGTGGTTGGGGCTTTCTTCTTTTTTGTTAAAAAATCATTTCATTCCAAATATCATTGTGACCTTTATTATGGAGGCCATTGTTAAACTAGGGAGGTCAATGGGCTGGAAGGATCAACATGGCCCAAGAGCCTTTCAAACTCTGCATTGTACACCCTTAGGAAAGACTTCTTTTCTGTAGAGAGAAACTTCTAGTGCCTGTGAATTTCCTCTGTCATGTGCCCTTTCCCAGCCTCAGAAGGGCTAGCCATCCTGGTACCTGATCAGACAAGACTGCTGATTAGCTAGTTTCTGCAGTGATATATGGAGACAAAGTGGAAGACTGTACTAGAGTTTTTTCAAATTTAAATCTTATAAACCTATTGGCTTTCTCTTTATATCCCTTCTAAGTTCACCAACACTATGAGAAAACCTGAGTTTGGATTCTGGAGTTACTAATGCTGTCAGATTCGGATACATAGTTACTAAGAGTATGACTCTGGCATGGAACATGGAGATAAGTTGGCAGTTTGCTTTCCCCTGGTTTACAAAGGATAGCAAGTTGCACAAGATCCAGGGAGGACTTGCCAAGGCCATCCAGTTGGCAGTGCAGTCCATTTCTACAACCACATCTTTTGATTCCTAAGTGAGACTCTATCTTGAAAAAAAAGAACCATCACAGAAAAGAGCTGAGGGGTGTCTAAGTGGTAGAAGCACATGCATACGCCCTGAGTTCAAATACCACTACAACCAAAAAAAAATTGAAAAATCAAAAAGAAAAAAAAAGAGTAAAATGGGCTGGGGGTATGAAGCTCGATTGGTAAACCATCCAAATAGCAAGTAGGAGAGGGCTTGCCTATCCCAGCACCACTTCCTGTGTGACTAAGTGTGACACCCTCAAATAACAGACTAGACACAGGAAAACACCAAGGTCCTTCCCCTGGTTGGACTTGAGGAAAATCACTTCAGCCATCTGTCCCTGTCTTCCTTGTCCAATGGCAGGTCTTTGTCTGTCATTAATGAACACTATTAGAACAACTTAAATTCACATAGGATCCTAAGTGCACAAGAACACCTTGAAAACTCAAGGCAACTTTGAAAGGTGCAGAGGGGAACTGTTCCTTCAGGAGAGAAAGCTGAGCCTCAAAAAAGGAGTGTCACCATGAGATCCTTCTCCCTGCTATGCCCACACTCTTGTTCCTTTCAAAATCTTGGGAAAAAAGGAGAGAAACCACAATCCAGGGAACAGGGCTAGGAAAGAGATGGACAGGTCTGAAAAGTCATTTCCTGATACACAGAGACTCCCCTTAGAAGGACACTCCATGTCCTGTAGGACAATGACAAGACAATCACCTCCTGCTGCTCAGAGATGGGGACACTCAGAGGACAGTGACACCAAAACACATACACAATCACTGAAACAGACATAGTTCTCTATAAAAAGATGAAACAAAAAAATAGTGGCACCTGCATTTGGACTAAGACCTAAGTCTGGGCTGACCCCCATGTGAAGCCCTGGTGGCTGGTGGCTTGGGAGATAAGAAAAGACCATGGCAAGGTCTGAGTCCCTGTGGTCGCAGATCATGATGGGACAAGGCTCTACTGAAGGACAGGGACTAAGAAGCAGGGAGATGACTCAGCTGAGCAGTGACCACATCAAAGCCCAGGGTGGACTGAGCCCCAGTTGTGCACACATGTCTTCTCCTGGCCTTCTCCTGTGTCCACCTGTAACAGACACAGTGTAGCAAACAAAAGGACTCTGGAAGCTTGTCAAGTTCTATTTTCTCTCAAAGTTTTATTAATCTTCCTTTGATTTAATTAGCTCAGCAACTTCATCTCATGGCAAGAATTTGATCAAATCCATATCCACATTCTTATTTTCAACAGGGAAGTGAGAATCTCAGCCCACTGCAACCTCACAGGAGGAAGAACGGGGAGAGGCCTGCACAGATCCTGTGTGGCTCAGTCCTCATAAGGCAGCTGTCCCACACTGTAACAGAAATGATCATGACAAATTCAGACGGGCATGGAAAATGGTGACACTCTGAGCAGCCCATCACACACACAAAAAGTCCCAATCCACAGTCCCCATAACCCAGGAGTCTGTCCTTTGCCTCACCTCTAGTGCCAACTTGACCCTCGAGGTGTCACCTTTTCAAGCTGTGAGAGAAGAATCAGAGCCCTGGGAACTGTCCCCTCCTAGGAAAGAACAAAACATCTGGTCAGAGACCAAAGGAGATGTGGCTAAAGGGGGAATTATGGGGTGGGTGAGCAAACCTATTGGTTCCTGTATACAGTTCCACAAGGGGCTCAGGGGTTCTTTGCAATACTTACTTGCAGCCTGAGCACAGCTGCCTCTTATTTCACTTGTGGAAAGAAAACAACCCATGAGTGGACAGGGAGAAGGGAGGACCATGAGGGCCTGGAGGAACTGCTAGTCTTGGTGGAGAAATACATCAGGGAGTGCGAGCCTGGGGGCGGGGGGCGGCTGAGACTCCGCGACCCTCCTGCCGCGGGACCCGGGTCCCAGGATGATGGGCCGGAGGGGAGGAGGGGACACGGGCTCCTGAGACCCCAAAGGGACATCGTGGGAGGAGGCGGGTGGGGAGCGGCAGCGCCCGGCTTGGGGACGGGGAGGTCGGGGCCGCGGTGGCGGCTTCCCGGGTCCTGAGCTCCCGCCCGCGGTCCCTTCGCCCTCCCCGGCAGGGGTCGTTTCCCTCCCGACCCCGCACTCACCCGCCCAGGTCTCGGTCAGGGCCACGGCCGCCGAGAGCAGCAGGAGGAGGTTCGGGGCGCCATGGCCCCCTTCCTTAGGGTCTGGGACGATCTGAGTGCGGGCGGCTGCATGGGAACTTTGTAACCCGGAACCGCGGAGACGCTGATTGGCTCCGCGGGAACGCGACACCCAATGGGAGTGAGAAGTGGGGCCGCGTCATGAGTGTCCAGGTAGAAGGACTGACACCTTTTGGAAGAGAAAGAAGTGAAACTCTGGAGAAATGGGGAACTCCCAAGGCTTGCCTTCTCCACACCAGACCAGACGCTAGAGCCTGAGACCTGAGATCTAAGCTTGAAAACCTGCTCCTTTACCTTGACCCACTCCTGCCCCACAGCAAACGCTGTGTCAAGGTTGGAGGCCACCCTGAGCAAAAAAACTATAGAGACCCCATCTCAACAACCCAGCTGAGTGAGGTGGAGCATTTATAATCCCAGTTACAGGCAGGCTACTGATGGGAGGATCGCAGCCTGAGGCTGTCTTAGCTTGGCCCTGGACCACTAATGCTAAAGCCTACCTGAAGCAAAAAGGGACTTGGGCCATGACTCCAGTGGAAGATGCCAAGTGGAGGCCCAGAATTCAAACCCAGAAACACACACACACACACACACACACACACACAAAACAGCAACAAAACAAAACAGAACAATAACAAAAGACACAAGCCTCCTACTTAACAGTACAAGTGCTTTTTCTATACTTTCTATTTAATCAGATAAGATACTTTTATAATGGGGACTCTGGACTGGAGATGTAATCAAGTTAGTCATTCTTAATACTTCAACCAGGACATCTGTAAGTGGAAGTAGCTTATTTTTTGTCTTCTGAAATGAGGAGGGGGAGGTGAAGATTAGAATAACTCTCTTGCAGTTTGCCTCCACATCTTCCATTGTTGCCAAGCTTTGTTTTAGTGCAAATAAAGTCTTACAAATATAAAAAGAGTTCCGATTTTGGGGATCCTATGAAAGGGTTGAGCCCTCCAAGGGTTCTACATACCCCACTTTGGGAACTGGTGTTCTGAGTAACCATTTGGTGGGGAGTTCCCCTGACCCCATCCTCTGTGTCTCTTCCTCATTTCCAGAACTTCTCTCCCTGCACTGCCTCCCTGCCTCCCAAAGTTCGGCTAAAGCACTGCCCTGGTCTTCCAGAAGGGTTGCACCCCTGGACATTGGATGTCAGAGAGTTTCCTTAGTCTGGGGACAGAGCTGGAGAGACACAAGTTTCCCCTTTGAGTTGGGAACAGCGTGTGTCTGAGGCATCAGATACAAATTCACTCATTCCGTGTTTTGGCTCTAGATCTCTATATGCCAGGCAGGACTCTGACTCAATATGCATGAGAAAAACCTTGGCCTTTCATTTCAAATGAGTCCAGAGACTCCATAGCAGCTATCTCAGTCCATGAGGTCCATGTAACAAAAACTCCATGGACTGGGTGACTTACAAACAAGAGAAATTCATTTTTACTACAGGAAGACCCATGTGAAGGGGTGACCATCTCCTGTCTGCGAGGGACCCCATCCTGACAGACAGCCTTACTTAAGGAATGGAGGCCATAGGAATGGAGGGGAAGGAGTGATGGGAAAGGGACACGGGAAGGTCAGCATAGGGGACACCTGTGTGGGAGCGATGGGATCTGCTTAGGGAGGGGCTCAGGAGCTTCTGGCAGGGCTGCTGGAAGGGTCCCTGGCTTTAGCAGGATGGGAGTTACGCAGGTGCTAGCTCTGTCATTCAGCAGGAGGCTGCAGTGCGTTGAGACAGTTTTCTGTACCCACAGGTACAGTGATCACACACATGGAAGAAATGGGAAGAAGCAGATGAGAGAGGGGAAGTGACTGAGGGCTCCCCTCTTCCAGAGCCAGGGCCCCTAGTGCTGGGGTGGCAGGAGAATCAAAGAAGGGAGGGGAGAGCAAGGCCTGCACCCCAGGGTGAAGTGCCTAGCCCTGGTCCTTGACTCCAGAGTTCCCCAGGTCCCACTCAGTGTGCTACAAGGTCATGGTCCTCTCCAGTGTCAGTCTTAGGCAGCCTGAACCAGCTGTGGATATCCCTGGTCTCAGGTCAGAGGAGCTGCTGCAGTATCCCAGGAATTGAGCTGGGAGTTGTCTGCACTCCAGGTGTCCAGGTAGACACTGTCCCCAGAGGGTGGAGAGGAGAAGTGGCAGGAGCTGAAGACAGTACTGTGCTATAATCAGATCTGTGTTAAATGCAACCTCAGACATCTTCCCAGCACCTCCCTGATGCCGAAGATGGTCCTCTCCACCCTGCACACCTCCAATTCTCAGGTACCCAAGCACCATTCCTCTGGATGCCAAGGGTGCACCCTCCCCAGGTCATCAGATCACCCTCCTTCTTGGAGCAAGGAGGGCTGCCCCTCCACAGCCCTGAGAGTCTAGGACAGGGGTGCCCTGCCTCTTCTTTTCCCTTTGTGACTTCAACAGATAAAGGCCTGTGGTCTATGTTACTCAGGCCTCACCTACTTTCCACCTCTGTTCCCCAAACCAATCATCCTGTGCTTTTCATCTTATCTTGGTGGCTGAGTGTGGCCTGGTTCTCTGGTTGTGTCCTGGAGACAAACAGATGTCCGCTGGCTGCCATCAGATCAGGCAGCAGCAAATTCTGGAGCTAAGTTTGGTAATAACAGGATTATAGCCCCTCAGTATCCAGCATCTGATTCCTCCCGAGTCCAGGAGGCTGTGGAGGCAGCTGGTCAGATGGCACCTCTAGGCCATAGGCTTCGTGCCCTGTGCAGAGTGTGAGGTCCCTGAGAGGCTGAGGGAGGGGCTTCTGGCCTGAGATAAGGTAGTAGGCACCCCCCCCCAACCAAACATGCACAGAGAGAACTCCAGTCACATCCAGGAAACAACTTACCTTTCCTGTCCAAGACTGTGCTCTTAGGAGGTCTGGTCCTTGAATTTATTCACTCTTCAACAAGTGTGTGAGTGTCTGTCATGTGCCTGGCTCTATTCCAGGCACCTGCGACACAACAAATCCAAACCAGGAAAAATCGCTGCCCTCACAGAATTCACTTTCAGAAGGAAACAGAAAGGATAAATAGCAAAGTGACTGATGTGACATACAGGAGGTCAGAGAGCAGAGTGATTTAGAGAAAAGGAACAAGGGGAAAGAGTAGGGCGGAGTTGTGATTTTTTGTGATTGTCCTCAGTGTAGACTGTACTGGGAGAGAACATTTGAGCTCAGTCCTGAAAGAGGAGGTCAGGGGGCTTGAAGTTACTGGGAGGAAGAGAGTCCCAGGACCACTGTCTGTACAGCCTGGGATCTACTGGGAACACACTGAGCTTGCTGCAGGAATGGAGGTGGGAAGAAGGACTTCCTGTCTGTGATTTTGGGCACTGGCTTTGTGGGTCTCATAACTGCTTCCCATTTGTGTCTCATGTAGACTTCCTGATGTCCTGGGGCCTGAGGGAAAGGGAAAGCCCCTGGTGTGTGGAGGAAGGGTGGGAGAGGAGGGACCTGCTGAGGTGGGTCCCCCATCTCTCTCTGTGCTCTTTCTCTTTTGCATGCAGAGCTTGAACTGTGAGTGAGTCTGTGTGTTCAGCAGATGCCAGGGTCCCCGGATCTGGAGAACAGTGGTCGCCTGGCAGGATGTAAAATTAAAGGCTTTCTAACCTCAGATACTCAAAGGAATAATATCCAGAAAGGGTCAGTAGGAAAATACTGTAAAATGTTACCTTAATAATAAAAAATGTAATGATTCTCCTGCTAGTGACCTCTTCTGTGTAAACGAGTTACACCTGATCATTGTTTCAAACTGAAGGACTTCATTGGAAATTACTTGAGGTGAAGGACTGCTAGCAAGGAATATGTCGTGTTTTATTTTTCTGAATGTGACTTTAGTTTGCTTTCTATCCCCCTCTTTTTTCAACTTAGCATGTCTCTGTGAATAAAATATGTTCGATGACAAATTACTTGAGTGTTTGTATTTTTGAGTCAAGTATCCACCCCAACAGCCAATACACACTGTCACCCTCCCCTTGCCCAAAACTGTGTCCTCATACCCTTTGTGTTTAATCCTCCCCTGAGTGACCTCAGGGGAACCTGAGTGACCACCCATCTCCTTTCTGAGAGCAATGATTTTGAAGACTGTAGAATTTCATATATATATATGTAAATCATGTTGTATGTAGTGTTTTGTGTCATATAATAGCATTTAAACTTCATCTGCGTTGTGTGTATTAACGTTTTGCTCATTTCCGGTACTATTACTTAAATCCTGATTTGTCCATTGGTTTATCTGCTGAAAATTGATAAATAGGCAAGTTATTACCAGCTTGGGTCTATTATGAACAAAGCCACTATTGACATTTGCATATAAGTCTGTGTGGACATTTGTAAAACATTGCAAAAAGAGGGCAAAATCCTTCCTTTTGCCTAAGTGTGGATTGTTGGGTCCTAGGGCAGTGCATGTTTAATTGCATCACGAATTGTGATACTGTACAAATGGAGCGTAGTATTTTTCCACTTCTTGCAGCAATATGGAAAAGGTTTCAAGTTGTGTCACATTCAGTTCATGTGTGTTTTCAATGTTTGCCATTCTAGGTGATTTGTGGTGGTACCTCCCAGGTCTCGGTCAGGGTCAGGGCCCAGGAGAGAAGCAGAAAGAGGAGGATTTGGGGAAGGTGAACCCCATTCTACTGGTTAGGGGAGAACCTGAGTCCAGGCGGTGCACGGAGATTTCATTGCTCAGAACCCCGCATCCGCCGATTGGCGATTGGCTTCTCCAGGAACCCGACACGCAATGGGAGAGAGAGTTGCGGTGACGTCATGAGTGTCCGGGCAGAACGACCCGACCCGGGCGCAGAGGGAGAAGTGAAACTGGGGAGATGGTCACTCCCCAGTGCCAGGAGGCCCTGCCCCACGCAGCTCTCTGGCCTGACACCCTGGGACCTCAGCCCCAGGACCCGGGACTTTGCTCTGACGCCTCGCATCTGCACAGAATGCTCTTTGTCCATTGTCTTCCAGATTCCTGCCCAAGGACTACATAAGTGATTCTCAAACGTTTGCGTTTCAGTGTTTCTCCACTCTTAGAAATTGGTGTGGACTGCAAGGCAGTTTTATTTATG